TGAGGAAAGGCTTTCTCTACCTTGGAATCATTTGGGGGCTTTGATTTCTGATCATTTAATATATAAACCATATAGTAAGAACCAGTGGTGGGGGAGGGGGTGTGGGATGAATTGGGAGATTGGGATTGACGTGTATACACTAATATGTATAAAATGGATAACTAATAAGAACTTGCTGTATAAAAAAATAAAATACAAAAAAAAAAAGAAAAAAGAGCCAGTAGGAAGGTAATCTTAGAAAAATCTTAAAAGGTCTGGGTGTTGTATCACCCCACGTCCCTGTGGACCAGACCTCCCTTCTTGGCAGCTATGCTTTTATTTTTTTTTAATTTAATTTAATTTATTTATTTTTGGCTGCATTGGGTCTTCGTTGCTCCACACGGGCTTTCTCTAGTTGTGGCGAGCGGGGGCTCCTCTTTGTTTCAGTGCACAGGCTTCTAATTGCAGTAGCTTCTCTTGTTGCAGAGCACGGGCTCTAGGCGTGCGGGCTCAGAAGTTGTGGCTTGTGGGCTCCAGAGCGCAGGCTCAGTAGTTGTGGTGCACGGGCTTAGTTGTTCCGCAGCATGTGGGATCTTCCCGGACCAGGGCTCGAACCCATGTCCCTTGCATTGGCAGGCGGATTCTTTTTTTTTGTGTGTGGTACGCGGGCCTCTCACTGTTGTGGCCTCTTCGGTTGCAGAGCACAGGCTCCGGACGCGCAGGCTCAGAGGCCATGGCTCACAGGCCCAGCCGCTCCACGGCATGTGGGATCTTCCCGGACCAGGGCACGAACCCACGTCCCCTGCATCGGCAGGCAGACTCTCAACCACTGCGCCACCAGGGAAGCCCGGCAGGCGGATTCTTAACCACTGCGCCACCAGGAAAGCCTGGCAGCTATGCTTTTAAAAAGCAGAGGGCAGCGGACAAGCTTAGCCTCGGCAGGGGAGCCTTGGCCTCTGCTCACCAGGGTGAGTTGGTGTCACAGTTGACACTCAGTTAGTGTCACAGTTATATGCACGTTTCTATTTGATCCTTGGCTGTTATTTTCTAAGATAGGAGTTTTAGACCCAGCCTTGCCACTAACTTTGTGCGACACTTAAACTCTCTGAGCCTTCATTGCCTCAATGCTTAAATGAAAGGATAAGATTGGCTTTTTGGTCCTTCTACCTCTGAGTTATATAAATGAGTAACTCCTATTGCTCTTGCTCTCCACCAACTAAATTAACTTTTTCCTGAGGCCAAGCACTGTGCTTTAATAGTCACCTAACCCGGTAGTGAAGTCAGTGCTCTGTATGCAGTTGATGCTCAGTTGGAATGAGTAATTGACAGATCGACAACTTTTTCTACTTTCTGTAAGTCTTGTAAACAAAGATTCCCAAAATGCTTGGAAAGTAACTTAAATCTTCCATTCTCTTAGTGGTAGAATTGAATACTACAAAATTTAAAAACTTAGTTCACTATTTAGTATGTTTGTTAAAACACACAAAATAACTTTAATATTTCTGGAAACATTGTTGAATAAACCAAGAAAAATGTAAAAATTAGATTTTTGCTTTTTGAATGGCATCTGGATATGGCGTATTTCCTCCTATTGCCCACATATTAACTACCCATTTCTGCTATTATAGAAAAGCACCGAGGATTTGCTTTTGTTGCATCTGAGTTGGCAGAGGTAAGAAATTTTCCCTGGTTAGTATTTGACTAGTGTTGCTGTTGTCATTGGTTACAAAGGTGCCACTCTCCATTTGAGCGGATGTAGTAATTTTCTGGGGCTGCCATACAAATTACTACAAACTTTGTGGCTTAAAAAAACAGAAATTTATTCTCATAACTTGGAGTCTAGAAGTCTGAAATCAAGGTATTGGCAGGGCCGCGTCCCTCTGAGGAGTCTTTCCTTGACTCTTCCTAGCAATCCTTGGCATTTTTTTGGCTTATAACTGCATCACTTCAGTCTCTGCCCCCGTCTTCACATGGTCTTTTCCACTGCATGTATCTCTCTGTCTTCTCTTCTTATGAGGACACTAGTCATTGGAGTTATGGCCCACCCTAATTCATTATGACCTCATCTTAACTAATTTCATCTGCAAAGAGTATTTCTAAACAGGGTCACATCCTGAGGTTTGGATAGACCTGAAATTTGTGGGGACACTATTCAACCCTCTATAGTGGCTTGGTGGTGACAGTTGCCAAGAGACAGGAAGTTCTGGTTGAAGGAAGGCGCACAAGCCCTGGTTCAGAGTTCCCTTCATGTAGTCAGAATGTGAAAGACAGGCCCTGCAGAGCCCTGAGCCTTCTGGCCTGGCACTGCTCTTTCCTATTTCCTGTGTGTATTCTGTGTCCATAACCTGAGCACCTATCTTTACACCACCAGCTCCAACAAGCAGTTAGTACATGCTCTTTGTTAAATACATACAATCTAGGCCGTAGGAAGGGAAGTAGCATCTTGTTTTTCCAAAGCTTGTGGTACTGAGTTTTAGTTTGCGTGCTAGCTACAAAGAGTTGAACTGCACACATCAACTTTTTCCTTGTATTCTTTTGGCAGGATGCCGAAGCAACTATCAAAAACATGGTATGGGGCTTCCCTGGTGGCACAGTGATTGAGAGTCCACCTGCCGATGCAGGGGAAATGGGTTCATGCCCCGGTCCGGGAAGATCCCGCATGCCGCGGAGCGGCTGGGCCCGTGGGCCGTGGCCACTGAGCCTGCGCGTCCGGAGCCTGTGCTCCGCAATGGGAGAGGTCACAACAGTGAGAGGCCCGCGTACCGCAAAAAAAAAAAAAAAAAAAAAAAAAACATGGTATGGCTGAGAATCTTGCTTTTCACTGAAGCTGTGTTTTGGTGCTACATGGGACCCTGATGCACATATTGTGTTTCCAGTTTCCACAGTTTCAAAGTTATAAAGGAAGCAGAAGTTGCCGTTATTTGAAAGTATTCACTAGGAACTGGCTGCTTATAAAATTAATTCTTATTCAGAAATCCTCCCCATTTAACATTTGTATAAATGTCAACCATCTTATTGGCCAATCTCTCCCTGACATTTTTATATCTATGTCAGGAGTCAGCAAACTAAGTCTATGGGCCAAATCCATTCTGCAGGCTGTTTTTATTCTTGTTTTTTTTGTTTGTTTTTGTTTTTTGCGGTACGCGGGCCTCTCACTGTTGTGGCCTCTCCCGTTGTGGAGCACAGGCTCCGGATGCGCAGGCTCAGTGGCCATGGCTCACAGGCCCAGCCGCTCCGCGGCATGTGGGATCTTCCCGGACTGGGGCACGAACCTGTGTCCCCTGCATCGGCAGGCAGACTCTCAACCACTGTGCCACCAGGGAAGCCCTGCAGGCTGTTTTTTATATGGCCTATGAGTTAAATGGTTTTTATACTTTTAAGGGTCATAAAAAAAAAAAAGAAGAAGAAGAAGAAGAAGAACATGCAGCAGAGACTGTATGTATCCCACAACGCCTAAAATATTTACTATCTAGCCCTTTATAGAAAGTTTGCCAACCTGTAGGCTAGGGCAATATACTGCAAATAGAGTGTAACTTGATTGCAAGGTTAAATGGTGAATCTTGTATAAGAGGCAGGATCTCATGAAGCGTATGGTAGGGATTGTGGAAAACTTCTCTAGTTGGCTCTAGTCAAAAATGTGAGGCTTTTTTGAGCCATTGAATAGTGATGCTCTCATAAAGTTAAACCAATTAACAACTGAGAAAGAGAAAACCCATAGAAGGATTATGACAGGTTGGGTACTTCAAAAGAAAAGGATTTGAATTCCTGTTGCTGAATTACCACAAATTTGGTGGCTTAAAAACAACACTAATGTGTTATCTTACAGTTCTGGAGGTCAGAAGTCCAAAGTGAGTTTCACTTTGGAGCTAAAATGAAGATTTCGGCAGAGTTGTGTTCCTTCTGGGGGCTATAGGGGAGAATGTTTCTTTGCCTTTTTCTCAGCTTCTAGAGAATGGCTATATTCCTTGACTCTTAGCCCCTTCTATCTTCAAGCTGGCAATGGCAGGGTGAGTTTTTTTCACAGCGCATCACTCTGAAACAGAGTCCTCTGTCTCCCTCTTCACATTTAGAGGATCCTTGTGATTACGTTGGGCCCATCTGAATAATCCAGGATAATATCCTTATTTTAAGGTCAGCTGACTAGCAACCTTAATTCCTTTTTGCCACGTAATATCACATATTCATAGGTTCTGGGGAGTAGGTGGACATCTTTGTTTGTTTGTTTAATATTTATTTATTTACTTAGGCTGCACTGGGTCTTAGTTGCGGCACGCGGGATCTTCATTGAGACATGTTTAGTTGCAGCATGTGGGATCTTTAGTTGTGGCATGCGGACTTCTTAGTTGCGGCATGCATGTGGGATCTGGTTCCCTGACCAGGGGTCAAAGCCGGGCCCCCTGCATTGGGAGAGCAGAGTCTTACCCACTGGACCACCAGGGAAGTCGCTAGCTGGACATCTTTGGGCAGGCTATTAGTTTGCCTGCCATAAAAAACCCTTAAATGCTTTTGCCCTTGTTTAAAACCTTTGTGATCACTCTTCATGACTAAATGTGAAATAAGGATGTTATTTCATGCCATCATTCAGTTTTTTCTTAATCACTAGAAATAAAGTTAGTACTTTATTTGTCTGTTTCTGAGAACAAAGACATAGCTATAATTGTAACCTAAATCTTATTAAATTAAGGAATCCTTTTTTTCTTTCTTTTTTTAGTTTTCATGAAAAGGCCTCAAACAAACCTTTTTTTTTTTTTCAAGTATTTTATAAATTTATTTATTTATTTTTGGCTGCATTGGGTCTTCGTTGTTGCGTGCTGGCCCTCTCTAGTTGTGGCGAGCAGGGGCTGCTCTTCACTGCAGTGCCCGAGCTTCTCATTGCGGTGGCCTCTCTTGTGAACCACAGGCTCTAAGCACTTGGGCTCAGTAGTTCTGGCTTGCGGGCTCTAGAGCGCAGGCTCAGCCGTTGTGGCGCACGGGCCTAGTTGCTCCACGGCATGTGGGATCCTCCCAGACCAGGGCTCGAACCTGTGTCCCCTGCATTGGCAGGCAGATTCCTAACCACTGCACCACGAGGGAAGTCCCACAAACCTTTTTTAAAAAGCTGTCTACCCACCTTCTCCTGGTATCAGTTATTCTTGGATTTTGAAATATTCTTAAACATTATTCCATGTTACCATGTTCTCTGTCATTCTTTCATCAAACATGCCCCTCAACAGTCAGCAATACTATCATTTTCCAGTTCAGTACTGCTCTTGTCTTTTTAAGGTGGACTCAGGTATTTGGTAACTGCGTTTACCCTTTTAATTTCAGAGTCCTGAGCTCAGATCCAAAGATTATGCCAGCAGACCTTTCTGTTGTTGGTGGTGAAATAGAGGAAGTGTGTGGTGGCTCAGGGGCTTTCTGTGGTGAGCTTTTTTTTTTTAATAAATTTATTTATTTATTTAGGCTGTGTTGGGTCTTCAATTCTGTGTGAGGGCTTTCTCTAGTTGCGGCGAGTGGGGGCCACTCTTCATCGCGGTGCGTGGGCCTCTCATTGTCGTGGCCTCTCGTGCTGCAGAGCACAAGCTCCAGACGCGCAGGCTCAGTAGCTGTGGCTCACGGACCCAGTTGCTCTGCGGCATGTGGGATCTTCCCAGGCCAGGGCTTGAACCCGTGTCCCCTACATTGGTAGGCAGATTCTCAACCACTGCGCCACCAGGGAAGCCCTCTGTGGTGAGCTTTGTGCTTAGCTGGCCATTGGGGGTTGCAGGCTCCCAACTTAGGACTAATCATGAGCAAGTCTCAGGCTTCTTAGAAGTAAATGGAAGGCTGCCAGGTCTTCTTTCAACCTAACAAGGTTTAAGCAGCTGAGTTGTATTGCACCCTTTTCAGAATGAATCTGAAATGTTTGGGTGGACAATCCATGTCAGTTTGGCCAAAGCAGTGAGAATTAAGGAAGGCTTGTCCAGACCAGGTGAGTGGGGGCAACCACAGATACCCCATCACGTCCTCAGCTGTGGCCTCTGTTGCATTTTTATCTCTGTCTTACTTCCTGCTGTGGGGTAATGTGTACATGAGTAGAGTGGTATAGAGTAGAGAAGAAAATGCAGCACCTCCAAGGAAATAAAGAGTTTGAGTTTCTCAGAAAGCTGGAGGCCTTGTCCCCATGAAAGTCTTGCTTTGGGACATAGACATAGACTGTGCCCTTCCAGCCTTGACAAGGGCTGGGACTTCCCTTTTGACACGGCTGAGTCCTTCCTCCTTATTCTCACCCACCTGTGCTAAGAGCTGGACTTGAAGGCCTGACATTTCCCAGTGACAGCTTTCATTGCCCTGGGGGGTTCCTAAGATGTAACTTATTTTCTATGGCCTGTGAGAGTCACGTAGTGTGTCCATGTAGTGAGTCCACTTTATGCATCCACGTAGTGCTGACCAAAGCAGCAAAGACTTGGACGTGGCTAATGAGCAGTTGGCTGATAGCTTGAGTTTCTTAACATCTGTTTGATTCTTTCCTTTCATTTTTGTCAGATGATGACTGGTTGAAAATGTTTTCTAGGAAGACTCTTGAAGAGAGGAAAGAGGAAGAAGGGTCAGAGCCTCCCAAAGTGGAAACCCAGGAGGTGAGATTGCAGGCTGCGCTTCCAGAGCGGCTGGCACTCTGCACCCAGCACACTTCTGCTGTGGATGGTGTTGGGGGAATTGAATGGAGAAAGTGTGGGTGTCTTGTCCTTGTAGGGCACTGGGTGAGAAATGCCTTATGTGTGCTTGGTGTCGATTTGTGACGGCTGTTCAACGAGGGGGTATCTCAGATGACAGAGGACACCACCAGTACCCGTCATCCAACGATCTTGCCCGCTCCATCACTGAAGACTTTGGCTCCAGACTCCCTGTCTTCCTGCTCCTACCCTGATTCCACAGAGGCCCTTCCCCAGGTCCAGGGCTCCCCACGCCTGGGCGCTTTCTCCTGCTTCTTGACACACATCTTGACCCTTGCTCCTCAGAATAATACAGGGGCTCCTTCTCCTCTGTCCACCCTTTCCACAGTGGTGTTTCTCTGAGTTCCTTCCGTAGCGCTCGCCTCCTTTCTCCACAATGTCCTTGTGCATTTCAGCCACTTTTGTCCCTTGTCTGAGATTATCACAGCCACTCAGGCAGGGTTCTGGTGATTTCTTTATCTCTAGTCCTAGCCCTGACCTCTCTCCTGGGTTTCACAGACTTCTGCCTGAATGTCTCACAGTCACCATAAATAAACAAAGCACATCCCAGGTGGATTTCCTCTTTCCTTTCACTCTGGTCTCCCTGAGTGCCTGATTTTAGCTAATTTTGCTGCCTTCTGGTCACTCAAACCAGAAGCTTCAGTTTATTTTAATTCACACATGATGCGTTGCCATATTCTGCTTATTTTATCTTCTAAGTCTTCCTGACTCTCGCCTCTCCTGTCTGTTCCTACTACATTATCTTGGTTTAGCCTCCATCTTCTGTCCTGTGAATGATGATAGTAGCTTCCTAACTGGTCTCTCTGTCGCAGGCCTGCTTCCTCCTGATCTGAGTAGCCAGGAGGAGCTTTCTGAAGGATGGATCTGAGGATAATTGCTCTCCACAAGCATTTTAAGGACCTCCCTCATGTATAGGATTGAGTCTGGGCTACATCAGAGGCACAGAAGGGCTCTCCATGTTCTGACCCTGCTCATCTCTTTATATTGTAGCCCCATTTTACATTCTAGGAAACAAGAGACTATAGTTACCTATAAATCTGTAGTTATCTACAAATTTATAGTTACCTACAAATCTCATGTGTTGTTTTGTTTTTTTAAATTGGGCCACGCTGTGTGGCTTGCTGGATCTTAGTTTCCAGACCAGGGATTGAGCCTGTTCCCTCGACACTGAAAGCGCGGAATCCTAACCACTGGACCGCCAGGGAGTTCCCAAATCTCTTGTGTTTTTGCATAAGCAGTTCCTTTGCCTAAAATGACCTTTCCAACATAATCTGGCTAATTCCTACTCACCTTTCATCCCTCCCTTCTGGGCTTGCATGGCCTCTGGGCTTCCATGGGACCCGCTATCCTAGCATTTACTGCATTGTTTTGACATTACTTATTTAACGTATTTTATTTTATTTTATTATTATTATTTTTAAACAGAGAACAGGAGTATTTATTTATTTTAAAAATTATTTATTTATTTTTGGCTGTGTTGGGTCTTCGTTTCTGTGCGAGGGCTTTCTCTGGTTGTGGCAAGCAAGGGCCACTCTTCATCGCGGTGCACGGGCCTCTCACTATCACGGCCTCTCTTGTTGCGGAGCACAGGCTCCAGACACACAGGCTCAGTAGTTGTGGCTCACGGGCCTAGCTGCTCCATGGCATGTGGGATCCTCCCAGACCAGGGCTTGAACCCGTGTCCTCTACATTAGCAGGCAGATTCTCAACCACCGCGCCACCAGGGAAGCCCTATTTAACGTATTTTAAATATTGCTTACTCTTTGCCGGGCACTAATGGCTTTACAAATATTTAATCCTATTGGCAGTCCTTTGAGGTAAGTACTAATATTATCCCCAAGTCTAGGTGACGAAACTAGGGCACAGTGAGGTCGAATAACTTGTGGACGTTACATAGTTCAGAAGTGGTGGGGCTGAGGTTTGAACCAAGGCTGTGGGGCTCTAGGATCTGTGTGCCTCTCACAGTTGTGGCTGCCCCTCCCTCACTGAGTAGCCAGTCCTTCAAGGGCAGAAGCCCTATCTTATTTAATAACCTAGGGATTGGCCTGAGAGCTTATACCTACGTGTTGACCTAATCCACACTACAAAGAGGTCAGACAGAGACAGTAGAGTTTTCTCTGTCAAACAGGTGGGAAGGTTTCTATTGAATGTTTTATTGTCTAATTAGCCTTGTCCATTTGGAGCACTAAGCAAGGCCCAACTTCCTCCACTGTCTCCTTTCTGAGCACTTAGGCCCTCCTTGCTTCCACTGCAGCCAGCCTGTGGATATGCAGGGCTAAGCATAGAGGAAGGGGGTGGTGTTGCAGAAGTGGGTCCGTTTAACTGACTAAGGTGGGTGGGCTTGAACTGGAAGTTGAAGTTGTTGAGAGTTTTGTGTTTTGAGCCAGAAAAGCGTTGTTCTGTGACTGCAGGGGAGAGTGAAGGCAAAGCGAGCTGACGTGTCTGAGGGAGTGAGATGAGATAAAATGCCTGAGGGGTGGGGCTCCGGGTAGACAGTGCTGAGGTCTCCTGTCACTGGGTGTCCGGCTGGGGGCCGTGGCCATGGCCTCCACCTTCTGCAGCCCCATCAGGGCCCAAGGCCTTTCCTGTCGGTGCCTTGCTCAGCCCGTTCACTGCAGTGGGTTCTGGGGTGTCTTCAGAAGAATACTTGCTCTCCTAGTTGGGGAGTCAGGCTGTTCTGTCTAACCTGGCCATTTCTCCTGCGTCTAGGGAGAGCCCGCTGTAAAAAAGGCCCAGTTAAACCCTCAGGTGTACATGGATATCAAGGTCAGGAACAAGCCAGCAGGCCGCATCCAGATGCTCCTGCGTTCAGATGTCGTTCCCACGACAGCAGGTGAGCAGGACTCCGGTCAGGATGGCCGGGAAGCTAGTGCCTGAGGAAGCTGCCTGGACTCCTGGGCCCTTGACTATTTCTACCTGAGTCTATCTGAGGCATCTTAGATCTCAGCATCTAGTGACAAATGAGGCAGAACAGGCTTTTCTTTCTTTTTTTTGCCACGCCACATGGCTTGTGGGATCTTAGTTCCCTGACCAGGGATTGGACGCATGCTCCCTGCAGTGGAAGCATGGAGTCCTAACCACTGGACCGCCAGGGAACTCCCAGAACAGGCATTTTTGAAATTCCATAAAGGCTTAGGACTGTTAGAAAGAGTAAGCAGTTGAAAGTTTTGTGATTTGTTTTAATTACTCTCCCATTTGATTTTATTGGGGTTTTTAAAAATAATTTTGTTTTGATATATTTTCAAACTTACAGATAGAATAAGAATTCTATACGAATAGTACAAGGAACTCTCATATATCCTTTAACTGTTGATTAATTTACTTTTTTGCCCTTACGCTTTATCATTTTGTTTATATACATACATACATACGTGTATTTTTTTTACCCCCATCCTAGTTGAGAGGAAGTTGAAGACATACATCATTCTTCAGTATGAATTTCCTAAGAACAAGAATATTCTCTTACATAATCATAGTACAGCTATCAAAATCAGGAAATTTAACATCAGTATAACACTATTAACTAATCTTCAGGTCATATTCAAATTTCATCACTTATCCCAATATTGTTCTTTATAGTAATGTTAACAATTTCTGTTCCTTGACAAGGAGTCACACATTGCATTTAGTGTGGGGGGGGGTCTCTTTAGTCTCCTTTTATTTCTAACAGTTTCTCAGTTTTTTATTGTCTTTCTTGATCTTGACATCTTTGAAGAGACAGGCCAGTTGTTTCTAAGATTGTTTCTTGGTTTGTCTTTGCCTGGTACTTCCGCATGATTAGATTTAGATTATGTGTTTCGGCAGGAATACCTCAGAAGAACGTTGTTTCCTTGTTAGTGCATCATATGAGGAAGTACTCGAGGTCAGTTCCAATGTTTGTGATGTTAACTTTGACCACTTGGTTAAGGAGATCTCTGCCAGGTTTCTCCCCTGGAAGGTTACAATTTTTAAGTTATAAATTAAAAGCTAAAATTTTTCTCCTCACTATCTCCAGCCCATCTCACAGAGGTAACTACTATTGACAGTTGTTGTACGTTGCCTATTTCCTTAAATATTCATAATTACTCTTTTTACCCATGATCCTGTTTTTGTTTGTTTCAATCTAGCTTTTTTTTTTTTTTTTTAATGCTTATCAAAGTCATAATTGCATACAGTTTAAAGAAAATTGTTCTTTGGAGTTTGTTACAAAACATGACATTCTTCTGCTCCCCCATCGTCATAATTTTTCTGCCCTGCCAGAGGCAACATTCTTTTCCTTTAGGTGATTATTTTGACTTTTATTGCTCTATCTCTGAAAAATATATTCATGTTACTGCTACTTGATTTTTCTCAGTTTTTGGCTGTTATAGGTCAGTTTTTCTGGGAAACAGACTCATGGAGAGGTGGACGCAGGAAGTTTATCGGGGAGTGATCTCAGGAACAACTTCTGTAAGAGAATGAGTGGAGTAGATGGGGCAAAAATAGAGTAATTGACCAGCCTTGCAGTCACACAGAGACCTCAGCTGATCCCATGGGGAGTTTGGGAGCTTGGATATCCCTCCAGAATGTCCAGCTCTGAATTTTAGGCCAGGGGGCCAGGCTTTTGTACCCTCATATGGACCAGTCATGAATTCTGGCTGATTCCCAGGAGTGGTGAGGCAGCTCTCTTTGGCCAAAGGCATTTCCTGAATGGGACCCATCCTGGGGCTGGTAGCATCCAACACTCCTGGGAGGTGAGGGGGTGAGGGAATGCACGTCTTGGTCTTGGAGAGGATCTGTGGGCTTAACCTCAGCATCCATTGCAGTCCACCCATCTGGCAACTCAGATCCGTTTACTTCACCCGGGAACGGCTCCTCCAGGACTCTGGTTGGTCTCTTTTTCTGGGGAAATTTCTAGAGGAATGTTAATGGAACTATAATCCATTGCTGCTCTTGGTCTCAGAACCACAAACGATACTTGTCATCTCCCTCCTCTACTTTATTCCAGATTCCTCTCACCGTCACCTCAGCTGGCTTCTCTGCTTGTCTACATGGCTTACCTGATGAGGTGACCTAGACCTTTTTCCAAGGGGATTTGAGCTCCTGGTCCTTGTGCCCTTCCCAGGCCATGGCTGCCCATCAAGATTGGGCAGGGGAGTACAAGAGAGGTCCCATGGGTCCCCCAAACATATTCTGACCAGACCTGTTGTGTAACAGCAGACCTACCTCCTAAAGACCAAGGTCAAGAATCTCGCCAAGATGATGACTCCTTTTCTTACCTGCTTGTCACCTGGCACAAGGAGCCTGAAGTGATCACCCAGTGGCATAGCTTAAAGTGTAATGGGAGTCTGGTTGTCTCCACTGGTGAAGGTGTGCCCACTAGGAACCAGGACCTCTAGACCCACAGAGGCTTGAGTTGCAGGGATGGAAAGTAACAGGAGTGATGGTAACCAGGACCACTCCAGCTTCTACTTCTTGGTTCCTGGACCCCCAGGGACATAGCACTCGCTAATGAGCACTGATTTAGGGCTGTCCTTACAGGAAATCTTTTTTTTTTTTTTTTTTGGCCGAGCCATTCAGCATGCAGGATCTTAGTTCCCTGACCAGGGATCAAACCTGTGCCCCCTGCACTGGGAGCACGGAGTCTTAACCACTGGACCGCCAGGGAAGTCCCCAGGATATCATTTCTGATATCCTAATACCGTCCTTCATAGAAACCTTTCTCCCACTAATCTAGAATCATGCACTGTGTTTGTTGTGTCAGTTTAATCTCCTTTAATCTGGAACTGTTCCTCAGCCTTTGTCTTTTACGACATTGTCGTTTTTGAAGACTCCAGGCCAGTTGTTTTATAGAATGTTCCTCATTTGAGTTTGTTTCCTCATTAGATTCAGGTTATTTTTGGTATTCTTTGCAATACTCCAGAAGTGACATGTCTGTCTCCCTGTCACTTATGTCTATTTTTCCATTACTGGTGAGGGTTACTTGGTTAAGGTTGTGTCTGCCGGTTTTTCCCACTCACAAGGTACTTTTATTCCCCTTTGTAATTGATAAGTGACTTTTAAGGAGACATTTAAGACTTTTTACCTTGTGATTTTTGGTATTCTGTTTTTGATTCTAGACTAAGTCAATTATTACCGTGATGGTAATTTTCTAATTATTGCTCCCTCTGTATTAAAAACATTAGCATTTCTACATTTATTCTAATTAGCCATCTGCTATGAATAAGAGCTTTCTCTTCTTCCTTCCCCCTTTATTTGTTTTGCGTTAGTAGGTCCGTGTGTTAGTGTGCACTCATGAGTCTTTTTATTCATGTTCTACTCCGTTACACTCACTCACTTGTCAGTTGCTCAGACTGTCCTAAGTTTGGCCATCAGGAGCCCCCTCAAGTCTGCTCCTATATCCATTTGACACTCATTTTTTGAGCATTTCCTTACTTTCTGGTACGATAAAAAGATCTGGGCTTATCTGGTACTGTCTCTGCTCTGACCCTGGAATCAGCCATTTCTCCAAGAAGCTCCTGTTCCTTTTAGTAGGAAATAATAATTAGAAATCAAGATCTGGATCCTGAGGAGGTACACTGCTTCTGGGGTGTCACTGAGCCTAGGCCCTTTCAGCCTTCCAGTAGGAAGTGTGTGTGTGTGTGTGTGTGTGTGTGTGTGTGTGTGTGTGTGTGTGTGTGTGTGTGTATGTATATCTTTAAGTCATGAATTCATACTGATACTCTAATTTCTGTCTAATACTACATATTTATATCACCTTTCTCCCACAGCGAGAGCCTTGGCTCCCAATAACATCAGTATATTCACATACTGTTCAATCCTACAGTACAAAATAGTTTCAGAATTGCTACATTTGTACCACTACCAACAAACAGTTTTTTTGCAGTTCTTTTTCTTCAGTCTGTAAAGGGTCCAAATACTGTGTTCAAAGAGTTCTTAGATTCCTTTCTTCTGTATGGCTAAGTTATCCATTTAACTTAAGTTCTCACTTGTTTCTCTTTGTGTTCCGTTTTAGGGGTTCCACCCCCACCCCCGGCCTTATTGATTTAGTTTTATTTTTTGAATAAACACTGACAGGCTTCAGAAATCAAAACTATACCAAGAGGCACACATGGAGTTGTGTCACTCCCTCCCACTCCCTCTGCCCCTATTCCCACCCACCTTCTATGAGTAACCAATTTCATTAGTTCCTGGTTGATCCTCCTTTTGTTTCCTTTTGCAAAAATGAACAGATATAGGAGTGTTTCCTTATTTCCTTCCTTCTTTCACAGCATGTAGCATATTGTGTATTCTCTTTTGCACTTTGCTTTTCTCACTAAACAACATATCCTGGAAATCACTCCGTATCAGTTCACAGAGATCTCCTATTCTTGTTCATAATACTTCACAAGGTGGACATACCATAGTTTATTCAGCAAGATTCTGGTGCTTGGGCATTTAGGTTGTTTCCATTATACTGCGGTTACAAATAATGTGTATGTGGATTTCATATCGTTGGAGGTATATCTTCAGGGTCATTCCTAAAAGTAGGGTTACTGGGTCAAAGGGTAAATGCACAGTAGTTTTGTTAGATATTGCCAGATTCTCCTACAAAGAGGTATCATTTTGCATTCCCCCTAGTAATGTGTGGGAATACCTGTTTCCCTGGCTTCACTCACAGATTGTGTTTTTAAGTTTTTGAATTTTGGCTAGTCTGATAGGCAAGAAATGGTGTCTCAAAGTATTGATAGTTTTAATTTATGTTTTTCTTATTATGGTTGTCAAAGAATATCTTTTTATATATTTAATGACTTATAACAAAAACTGTCCCCCCAAAATGATTTTTTTATGTCTTCTGTCGCTTTTTCTGTTAAGTTTGATCTTGTTTTTCCTTCCACTTTTAAGAGTTCTTCATATATGGGGATATTAGATTTTCTGTGATGTACGTTGCCAATGAATATTTCTCCCAGTTTGTCATTTTTTGTTGTTGTTTTTACTTTGTTTATAGTTTTTTTGCCATGCAAAAGTTGTTGAATTTTTTTTTTTAATTGCCCCTGGGTTTTGAGTGATAGTTGGAAAGTCCTTCCTTACACCCAGGTTATAGAAGAATCCAACCCATGTTGTCCTCTAGTACCAATAATTAATTTTTTCTTTACATTTAGATATCTGATCCATTTGGAGTTTATTCTTGCAGTGAGGTAAGTTGTAAATCCAGCTTCACCTTTTTTCAAATGTTTGTTCATATGTCCCAGCACCATTTTAGAAAATGTCCATTTTTGCCCCAACGATTTTAAGATGACAGCTTTTATGAAATACTGAATTATATGTACCTTGGTCTGTTTCTGGACTGTCTGTTCTATTCCCCTGGTCTGTTCAGTCTCTTTGTGTGCTATACCACTAGTAAACGTTTACTTCAAGTGAAGGTAATATATACTTTCTCAGATTCTGAGAGCTGGAGGTTTAACTCTCCAGTTAGATATTTTTAACCCCGGCACCTTTTCCTTTCTCGGCCCCGGAGAATTTCCGCTGCCTGTGCACCCATGAGAAGGGCTTTGGCTTCAAGGGCAGCAGCTTCCACCGCATCATCCCCCAGTTCATGTGCCAGGGCGGCGATTTCACCAACCACAGCAGCACCAGGGGCAAGTCTATCTACGGGAAAGTTTGATGATGAAAACTTCATCCTCAAACACATGGGACCAGGTGGGACCCCATCGATGGGTGGTGATCGGCGGGCCGGGCTGGGGCCAGGTGACTGTGCGGGGGGAGTGATGGGCTGTGGTTCTGGTCTCCAGACTGCCACCCAGTGAACGGAGGAGAGGCATTCAGCCTGGCTAGAGCTTTAGGCTTCTAAAGGTTTTTTTGTTTTTTATTTTGACTTACTCAAGTTCATGCTTGCCTCCTTTTAAGAGGAAAAGGCGTATAGCCTGGTCCTGCTGCTACAATGATGTGTTGTTACTGTTTTTGTAACTTTTTATTTTATATAATTTCAAGTTTACCAAAAATTTACCAGAACAGAACAAGGAGCCCCTGCCTGTAAACCTTTTATATGCCGTTCACCCACATCACCAGTTGTTTGCTGGTGACCATCGTTCCCCACTTATTCTAGTCTCTTTCTGTATATATTTATAGACAATGTCTATTTGGGAGCAGCCATTTGAGAGTAAGTCAGAGACCTCACACACTTTCACCACTAAATACCTCATTGTGTTATTTCCTAAGAACAAGGGCATTTTTAGTATTACCACAATATATAGTTATCAAACGCAGAAAATTAACACTGATACAATACTGTCACCTACAGTGCATATTCAGGTTTCATCGTGGTCACAGTAATGTCCTTTCTGAGGTATTTATAGTTGAAATGTATCATCTGCTCACACAGTCGTGGTCCAACCCCTCCCCTCCCCCACCCCCAAAACACTGACGTTTGTTTGCGTCTGCCTCCTCATTTCCCGGGCTCCGTCACCAGCTGTGCTTCCCTCACTCTTGCCTTCCAGCTACACTGCCTTTTGCTTGCTCTCTCCTGCTCACCTGGTACAAAACTCCCATGTGCCCACGCACCGGGTCCCCTTCAGGTTGAGGAGCACAGCCCAGCAGTCCTCACAGATCGCTGATTGATCCTCATCCACAGTCTGAGAAGAAAACACTCCTTTTCCTCGATCCTCAGATCTCCAGCGTTGCCCCCTCCACTCTCCCTCCCAGCTAATGATCTTGCTTCTTATCTCACTGAGCAGTAGGAACAATGAGAAAGATGTGCTGTCCTCTCTTCTCAGTTCCCATCAGACCCTGGGTCCTCCCCTCCCTTTACTGCCTCCTCCAGTCCCCCTCATGCTGCAGTGCTGCCAGCCTTTAAAGAAATAAAATAACTCTCCCTCGACCCTGTGTTCCCCCTCCAGCTGCCACATTAATTCTCTGGTCCCTTTTTAGCAAAACTTCTTAAGAGTTGTGTAAGCTCATGGCTTCTGTTTCTTTCCTCAGCCCCCTCCAGTGAGACTTCCTTCCCCACCACGCCTTGCTCTTGTTGAATATGCCAACAGCCTCCATCTTGCCAGCAGCCAAGCCTCGGCCCTCTTTTTCCACCTCTCAGTAGCACTTGATACTATGAATCACGCCCTTCCTGAACCCCTTTCTTCACTTGCTGGCAGAACACCTCATCTTCCGTTCTTTTTGTGCCTCATAGGCTGCTCGTCTTCAGTCCCCTTTCCTTTCTCCTCCTCCCCACCTCCAAGTTGCTAGAGGGACTCAAAGCTCAGCCCTGGTTTTTCTTCTCTGTCTACACTTACTCTTTACTTAACGGTTCTCGTGCCCACCTCTAAGAACTGATACTTCACTATATGCTGAAATGAAAGTCACAGCTAATATATCCTGTCAATACCTAATTTTTAAAAAGTAGTATTATAACATAAAGGAAAGTAATTTAGAATAAAATAATATGCATTTTGGTATTTAGATGCTTGGACACAACTGCATGTATGGAATATTCAAACACATGAACTTCTGCCTGGAGCAGGTTAGCAACATGGACTGACTGACACTGGCATGGCATGTCACCAGAGTCACGGCAACATGATTTTCTGAAACAGTGAAAATCTCTTGGTAATATTCTGAACAAAAAAAATGTGACTATTCCCTCAGTTTATGTGGTAGGTCCATTTCTGAAAAAATTCTACATAATAAATCTTTGGATTTACATGTAAAATGGAGTTAGGTTCTAGGCTTAGATCATTATAAACAGATATTTGTCATCTGCATGAATGTTTGTCTGGGCACTGAAAGTCTAAGAGGATTTAGAATAATTCTTCATTAGGTGGGACATTGCAGGACATGCCTGCTTCCTCCCCAGTATTACTGACAACCAAAACCATGCCTTGAACTTTCCAAATAGCCTCGAGGGGGCAGCATTACCCTATTTAGAGTCACTGCCCTAGACAATCCTGTCCCGTCCCGGGGCTTTCCCTCATGTCTGCTGAATTTATCTCGCCCCCGTGTATGTCTCGCTGCTGCTCTCCCGCTGTCTTCCCTGGACATCCCAGCGGGGTCGCAGACCTCACGTGCCCAAGCAGCTCTTGCTCTTCAGCCCCGAGCGCTCCCTCCTCAACTCCCCTGTTTCAGCCACCATCTACCCGGCTGCTTGGTCAGAAGCTTAGGACTCATCCTTGCCCCCCTCCTCTGTTGCCTGGATGGCAGGTGCATCTGTCTTCAGTTCACCTCCTGGTGCAGCTGCTCTTCACCTTCCTCCACCACCACCAGCGTCCCCGAGCTCGTCTCCCTCCTTCCACTCTTGCCTCTTCCCCCGCAGAGTCTAATCTCTGCAAGGTGGTCAGAGCAGTCCTTGTTAAGAGTAACTCTCATCACATTGCTCTCCTGCTGACAGCCCCCCCGTGGCGCATCTCGTGTAGCATCTGGTCCTACAGGCCGGTTGCCCTGCGTCCTGGCCCCTCTCCAAGCTCATGGACTGTGCTGCTCACCCTCTCTGCCCCCACTGCAGTCTGGCTGTTCCTCAGACACCCAGAGCTCACTCCCCACAGGGCCGTGGCAGGTGCTGGCTCCTCTCCTGGAGGCTTCCTCCGCCAGCACCCACAGGCTTCGCCCCTCATGTCCTCTGGGCATCGCCCACAGGTCGTCTAGCCCAAGAAGCCTGCCCTTGCCTCTCTAAAATGGGCTTTCCTACCGTCTTGCTCTTCTTTTTAATCAGCTTCATTTTTCTTCACGCACTGGTTATCTGAAATCATATTATAAATTTACTCTTTTACTTAATTATTGTCTTATGTCTCCTGAGAATGTCAGCCTCATGAGGGCAGGACTTAGTCTTTCTTGTTCACCATTGTATTCTGGAACAGTGTCTGACACACAGTAAACCTGCGGTAAATATTTAAATATTTAAAATAGATATTCACAGGGCCAGTCCATTATGTGTCAGGCACCCTGATCAACTCCGGCCTGAAAGTAGAGTGGGACTCAGTCCCCATTTGAAGGGAGCACGCGTTTTAGAGGCCCAGCCACGAGGGGTGGAGTTTCTTATTGCCACAGATGAACTGCAGCTCCTCATGCTACACTCCATCAGCCCCTGCCAAACCTGGGCCTTTTAGACTAAACTGGGACGTCACTTCCTCCAGAAAGCCTTCTGTGATACTGTCACCAGTGTGTGTGTGTCTGTCTGAGGTGACTGTCTTTTGTGCTCTCATTCACTGAGCAAACATCTCTGCCACTAGGCTTCACTATTTCAGAGCATAATTATCTTTATTTTTTAACAGTTTCATTGAGATAGAATTCACGTACCATTCAGTTCACCCATTTAAAGTATACATTTCAGGACTTCCCTGGCGGTCCAGTGGTTAAAGACTCCGTGCTCCCAATGCAGGGTGTGTGAGTTCGATCCCTGGTTGGAGAACTAAGATCCCGCATGCTGCATGATGTGGCCAAAAAATAAAAATAAAGTATACATTTCAGTGGTTTCTAATTAATTCACATAGTCATGTAGCCATCCCCACATGTAATTTTAGAATGTTTTCATCACCTCCAAAAAGAAGCCCCACACTCTTCAGCAGTCATTCCCTGATCCCCTTGCCCCCAGCCCTAGGCAAACACTGATCTTCTTTGTGGATTTGCCTATGATGGGCATTTCATGTAAACACAATCATAAAATTGTAGGCTTTTGTGACTGGCTTCTTTCATTTACCATAATGTTTTAAAAAATGTTCATCTACAATATAGTGTGTATCAGTATTTCATTCTTTTTTTATTGCCAATTAATATTCCACTTATGGGTATACCACAGTGTATTCATAAGTTGATGGACATTTGGGTTGTTTCTAATTTTTGGCTATTATGATGCTGCTGTGAACATTCATATATACGTTTTTGTGTAGGCATGTGTATTTATTTCTCTTAAGTATATACCTAGAATTGGAAAACTATGTGTTTTTTTGTAGATATCCTTTATCAGATTAAGGAAGTTCCCTTTTATTCCGCGTTTGTTGGGTGTTCTTATCATGAAAAGGTGTTGGATTTTTTTCCTGCATCTATTGAGATTATTATGTGGGTTTTGTTCTTTATTCTATTGATACGGTTTATTACATTGGTTTCTGGATATTAAACCAAGCTTGCATTCCTGAGATGAATCAATATTTAACTTGTGAGTGACTCTTTTCCGCTAGACTGTGGGCTCCACCAGGCCTGGGACCAGTGTCCCCAGGGTTCAACAGGTGCCTGGTTATAAAGTAATAAGTATTTGTTGAATGAATTAATGAAAGGACAAACTAGTATAAAATGATCGAAACAACCATGCTTAGCGTTTCATTGACTATCAGTTGAGTGGAAGACAAGGCATCCAAGACTCTGTACATCCCAGAGTCTGAGCCTGCCTGTCTGAAAGGCTGACAGCAGTGTGCACAGACATCCTCTGAGGGCCAGACATCCCAGCAGCATTTACGCTCCTCCCTCTACTACCAGACGTCCTGAGGGCTGGGAGCAGGGTGGAGGGGGTCGATGTGGTCGTTCTCTCCCCCAGGCCTGCTCTCCATGGCCAACTCTGGCCCAAACACCAATGGCTCCCAGTTCTTCCTGACGTGATAAGACGGATTGGCTGGACGGCAAGCACGTGGTATTTGGGGAGATCACGGAAGGCCTGGACGTCTTGCGGCAGATTGAGGTGGGCAGCCGCCCGGGTCCCCCGACACACAGCCGTGTGGGAAGGCAGGAGTGGGGGCTCTGGGGCCTGGAGAGAGAGGCCACGGCTGCTGCTGCTGGGGGTGGGGGGGCAGGGGGTGGGGCGGGTATCCTGAGCTGCCCTTTCCTCTCCACCCTCCCTCCCTCTGATTCCTCCTCTTCTGTTTTGCTTGCAAAGGCCCAGGGCAGCAAGGACGGGAAACCCAAGCAGAAGGTCATCATCTCCGACTGTGGGGAGTACGTGTGAGAGGGCAGCTGTCAGCCCGGGGAACCGGCAGCCAAGGTGTCCCGTTTGCAGCAAGCAGGGCTTTGTGTCCTGGCCCTTCCTTGGGGTGAGTGTGGGGCAGCTCCTCTGCAGGCACGGCCTGGGCCACCTCTGGCTCTTCCCCAACTGGGGCCGTGGGCCAGGGTGCTGCCCTCCCCACCGTGGACGGCTGTGCGTGCCCTTTCCAGGCCAGGGCCTCTCCTGGGCCCGCCTGTGTGGATCTTGGCTGTGTCTTCCGGTAAAATTAATCCTAGTTCTTGTACTGCTGCCACGCAGCCAGGTCCCAGGTGTTTTCAGAGGTTGCACCTGTGACTGACCTGTCCTGCTGCAATGGATGACAGACCGTAGTCCCTCCCGTGCTGCTTCCCTCCTCTCCAGGCTGGCCCAGAAGGCACACCCTTGCCAGACCTGCAGGGCAGCTGAGGTCAGAGCTGCTGCAGCAGTGCCTCTGTGTCCTGTCTCTGACCTGCTGCCAGGCGGGCGAGGTGGCTGAGCCAGGCCCTGTTCCTGCCCTCACACCTGCTGGTCTTGAGTCTAATGGGCACAGTGGCCCGTCTCAGCGGCCCGTTCACTTATTGTTCATTCGGTGAACTAACAGTCAGAATTGTATTACAGCAGAGTCCAGGACCCTTCTTTTGCCAGGCCGTGAGCTTGGTGCCGGGGAGATACAAGAAGCCAGAGGTGGTTCCTGCCCCGCCCACAGTCCCACCTGGAAGTTGCGCTCCGACGCTGTGGTCTGTCACTTGCTCTAGGCTCGCCTGTCACCCACACCAGCCAGGCCACCTCGCAGCAACCCGCTGTGCTGAGGCTGAGCCCCGTCAGGTGCTCAGTCACCAGAAACCTTGTCCAGGGCTGCCACCTGCTCCCCTGCCGCCTGCGAGTGGCTGTCTGGATCGAGTCTCAGCATTCAGAAACTGCTGTGCTGGGCTGGTTCCCTCAGCCTTTGTCTCATTTTGGGCTGAGATCAGGTTGAGTCGGGGGTGGGGTGGGGCAGCCTGCTGGCCCCAGTGCCCCCAGGTCAGTTCCTGCGGAGGGATGGAGGCCAGGCCTCCCTCTGCCGCCTTGTGCCAGCCTGGCTCTCTGCCTTCAGGTGGGGCTTCATCCCCTTGGGCTGGCTGGGGCCCACTCCCGTGGCTGGGGTCCACTGCTGCAGTATTCCTGGCTGGGGCCCTCACTACTTAACAGAGGTGTCCCTCTCACTGGTGGCCAGCTGTGGCTGTCAGAACACGCAGCAGTGAGGCCAGGAGAATGCCGGCCACTCGGGGTTGGTGTGATGTCCAAGAGACAAGGGAACGTGTGTGAAGTACTCAGAGTCGGCATGGCTGGCCCTAGGGATGATGTGGGGATGGGGAGCAGGCTGGCCTGAGGCCCCAGGAGGGAAGACTGGTCACAAAGCCCTTGTGAAACAAGGGCAGGGTGGGGGCAGGGGGACTTCGTCACTGGACCTCCCTGATGCCCCTGGGAAGGGGGGACCAGTGGACTGGCCAGAGAGGCTGGTTGGGGGATCATTAGGGGCCGACTGCTCACCCTGTCCTGTGTAAGGGCTTCCCCAGAAACTACTGCATGGTCATCACCTGTGACCCTTGTGCAGGTGGTGACCTAAGCCTCAGACCTGAGGTTCCTAGTCCAGGTGTTCTGGGCTAATGGCCAGCCTGGCGGCCGTGCCCTGGCTCCCTGCCTTCCCGATGCTGGGCCAGGGCTGCAGGTGACAGGATCGGGGGGCCGCACACCTGCCCTCCGGGGAAGGAATAGTGAGCCCTGGTTTGTAAGTGACAAAACTAAGGCAGAAGTCAAGGGATGGAGTGCTACTGCAAACTATGTTTCCAGAGAATATTTAATAACAGAAATGTTCAAAATACGTCATAGATTGAATAATTCAGATCACCAAGCAGCGCATAGAGTACGATCCTAACTTTGTAGAATACCCATATATTATATAAAGAGACCGACAGGAGCGTGCTAAGGAAAGAAGCCTGGAAGGAATTATTAACCCCGGTTGTCTCCACGTGGTGAGATTGTGTGTGTTTGTATTCTGCTTTTGATTTTTAAGAGTGTCCCCGACACACATGTAATATTTTCTTAAGTGAGAAAAACTTTTTTTTTTTTTTTTTAAAGAGGGCCAAATGCTCGCTCAAGGCTTCCCAGTGAGGAGACAAACCCCAGAAAGTTTACCCTTGAGCTGCACTAGTGAGCAGGGCCGTGGGAGGACAGAGAGGGGGCAACGCTGCCATGTCCCCTGCTGGCCGCTACGCACCCCACCCCACCCCCACGGAGGGTCCACACCTCACCCCAGGAGACTACCAAGTTTTTATTTTTTTAGGAAAAGCACAGCTTTGAAGTAAGTACAGCAGCACCTCCAAGGACACATTCTGGGAGGAGTGGGTTTTAATAGGAAGGCACGCGGGAGAGGCCCACATTTGCAAATTCATTTAAAATAAGGCCACTAGGGCTTCCCTGGTGGCGCAGTGGTTGAGAGTCCACCTGCGATGCAGGGGACATGGGTTCGTGCCACGGTCCGGGAAGATCCCACATGCCGCGGAGCGGCTAGGCCCGTGAGGCGTGGCCACTGAGCCTGCGCGTCCGGAGCCTGTGCTCTGCAACGGGAGAGGCCACAACAGTGAGAGGCCCGCGTACCGCAAAAAAAATAATAAAATAAGGCCACTAATAATGCTATTCATTCAGCGCAGGTGTGCAGACCCAGTGCCGAGTGCTCCGAACAGACCTGCTCCCCGTGCTGGCCTTGCCAGGGCAGAGCCAGTAGCCCGTTCTACAGAGGGAGGAGCCGGCTGCCCGGTGCGCAGTGTGGTCAGATCAACAAGAGGCAGAGCCAGGGCTTGTTGCCAGCCGGTCTGCGAGCTACAAAGCTCACCCTCTCCTGTCACAGCTTCTTTCCCTATGAAGTTACAGGGAATTTCTTGAAGAATGTCACCTACTTTCCTACATAGAGACACACAAGAATAGGGCTTCGCCCGATGAGCTGGCCTCTGGGCCAGGATCACGCTTCGGTTATGAAGATGTGCACCAGGGGTGAGGTGACAGAGCAATGTGCCCACACAGCATGGCCCCAGGCGCTGCTGTTCCTTCGGGCCCACCCTCTCCGGCAGTGCTTTACTTTGCCGCCAGTGAGTCTGAGCTGACCGCCCTCATTTATGCTTCTCATGTGCAGCCTTGAATGTGACCCAGACTGCCAAGGGCAACCAGATAAACGAGGTGGGCCTAGTGACTGACCACTGCCACCTCATCAGCTTTCCGTCCTTAATTGTCTCCCTTCTCTGAAGCCTTTTCTATTTGATTTCATTTGGTGGCCACCTGGATGGCTGAAGGTGCTAGAAGTGTCAGGAAGGCCATGACTGCTGGACTTTTGGCTTTATTGCACGAAACGGGAGTCGTATCACAATCCTACGTTCCTTTTGTTCTACACCTCTGAGGGCAGGGCAGTCCACATCTTCAAAAGATTCACTTCATAAACTTCCCTGGTGCCCCAAACCATGCCAGGTTATGTGCTTAGGCACTGAAGAAACCTAACACTGACATTTGTCAAAAGTTTCTAAGCCTCCACTGCCCTTGATGTTGGGAGGAGAGATCACTGAATAAGGCCCTGAAATGGCAGGTTTCAAGTCCTAGGACAGCTGGGCACTCAGGCCATGTTTTGGCGCTCTGAAAAGAGATGGCCAGAATGGCAGGCAGATTCTCTGGCTGGAACGGCCTTTGGAGACGTAAGAGTCCTTGTATGCCTCATGCCAGAGACAGGAAACTGAACCCTGGATCAGTGGGCACTTGCCCAGACATCAGTGGCTGAGCTGGAGCCAGAATACGGGTCTCCTGACACTTGGGCTGGTACCTGGTCCGCTCACTGCCAGCCTCAGCTCAAAGCCCCAGGCTAAAGAGGAGACCACCAACTTCCTCTGTCCATGGGGAGGGTCACTTCCTGTGCACTGGCTCCCAGAGGCCCTCCCAGGTCCAGGCGGAGGGGCTGCTGTCCTGCAGCAAGGCCCCAGCCTTCACCCCTGCTGCCAGACCTGCGCTCCCGGAGCCCCTCCTTGGGGCGCAGAGTGAATTCCAGAGCTGCACGTCCTGGGCTGTGCCCGGGAGTTGGGGTGGGCCCAGGCTGTGCTTTTAATGACAGGGTATTTCAGGGTTCGGGCAGCTGGACGCAGTCCGCTCCACCAGGTAAATTACAGGCTTACCAAGTCAGAAATCAAATAAACACTCCAGCTGCCGGCGGCCGCTCCAAGGAGAACAGTGGTTTCCGGGAACCGCCCCACCCAGCTCAGCTTAATTGCTCCTGTCACTCCCCTGGGACTGGGGCCTTTTCTCTGGCTCACAGGCCCCGAGAGACAGGACGGGGCTCCTGGGCACACAGGGTGACGCAGGCTTGGCTGAACAGTCTGTTTCTGACAGCTTCTGGACACGGGCAGGTGCTGACAAGCCTTGCCCTCGCTCCACGCCTGGCCCCAGGCTGCCCCGTGTCCCAGAGCACTGGAGGCAGGAGATGGCAGAGAGTTTTCACTCCACATGCCAACTCTAACCTGTTGGTGGTGGCCACCTGGAGTTCTGTGCTGGTCATTTTGAAATTCTATCCAGATTTGAAAGAAAAAATATCAAGGTTGATTATTGATGACTGCTGTGCAGAAGGTTAAGGGAAACTATGTCACCCGTGCTGGGCATTGTCACCCTGGGCCACCCGATGTATCCACCATACTTGGCTCAGCAAAAAGATAACTTTTCCACAGACCTGAACTCCTGATGGTTCAACATGGTGACAGACAGACGGGGTCAATAAAGCCCCCAGGATTTTTTGTTTCGCTGAAGTGTCCATGCCCTGCACGTCTTCCCCAGACAGCAGAGGCAGGTCAAGGGAGGAAGACAGGGAAGATGAATGCCATCGGCCTTGGCCCTAAATCATGCTGTCCATTTAGCTCTTTCTGGAGGCGACCCACATGCCTCCTTGTGGCCAGCGGTTTGGTAATTCAGATCCACAAATATAGCCCACCGAGGGCAACTCCACACTCTAACAGAAGTGCCCAGAAATGCCCAGTTTTGCACCTGGTAAGGGCAGGCATCTGGAGATGGACCAGGACCTGTCTACACATCCCCAGACCCTGTCGTGGACGGTGAAGGGCCTGAGGTGGCCATCCTGGGTTGCAGGTGCCTCTGAGTTCGTTCCACATCCACCCACAGCTGGCCCAGCAGTGAACAAGGGCAGGTCCTCAGACAGGACTCTCTGCCAGCCCCAAAGAACGGTCAGCCCGTGCCTCTGGGGAGGGGGCTGGGGTAGGACCCTGCTGCGGACGCAGACCACCAGGCCGGAGTTCCGCCACCGCCTCAGGCGCCGGGCGGGGGCGGGGCAGAGGGGCCTGGGGAGGACCAGCCCCTGGCAGGATGTGGGCAGCCGAGGGGCGCCCTCGCTGCCGCCCTGCCTGATATGTGAAGGCGTTGGGGGGGGTGCCCCCTGCGGAGGGCTGACCTGACCCGGTAGGGGCGGTGCAGCAGGCGGGGCGGGGCCTCAGTGGCAGCCGCAGGCGCGGACCACCATGTTGCGGTGCTTGCGCAGGATGACGTTGTTGCTGCTGTCGTAGTAGAGCACGGAGGTGGCGCTCAGCTTGGTGGGCGCGCAGCACGCCTTGGGCACCGCGTCAGGCTTCATCAGGTGCACCTGGCGGGGAGGGGGTGCGGCAGGCAGAGGCGTGAGAACCGCGGGGACCCCGTCCCAGCCCCCAGCTCCTGCCGCCCGGGCTGCAGCCGCTCGCCCCTCCCCGGCGCCATCTCGCCCCGCAGCCCGGCAGGTGCTGGCGCGAACTCTGCCCCGGCCCCGCCCCCTTGGCCACCCCCACCCCTCCCCCCGCTGCCCTCAGGCCCAGCCAGGGCACCTGTGGCTCCTGTCATAGCCCCTCCCCTCAGACAGGACGACCCTGACCCTGCTGGCCCCCGGCACGTGTGCCAGGTCCTGCCTGCGCCCCTGCAGCGCCGCCCCCGGGGTCCCCTCTGCTCCTCTCTTCTCCCTGCGCTTCTGCAACGTCCCTGATCGTGTCTTGTCCGCATGAGCTGTTTCTGGTCCGTCTCCCACTCCAGACTGGGAGCCGGTGAAGGTCCGTGTTACACCTGCTGGCGGCCAGACTTCTAGGCTCACCCTTGGGGTGTCCGACACTGTTGTTTCTCAAAGCACCTCCACCCCTCCTAACGATTTCTAGGCAGAGATTGTTCTGGGCAGATGACCACTGAGGGCACAGGGACCGAGTCACCTGCCCAGTTCCATGGCTGAGGCCGAGGCCGCGGCACGACTGGGACCTGGCACGGGGATCCCGCTACCCTCCTCCAAACAGCTCTACCCCTAAAGACAGCCCGACTGAGTGAGCTCTTGCAGCCTCTACAAAAATATTTATCTGGAGACTCGGAGGATGAGCTGCCGTTCACCCTGGACTCTTCATCGGGGCCCCACATGGAAGGGCCCGGAAGGCAGCCCCCCAACCTGTCAGGGGCTGGAGAGAAAAGGGAACCTGCTTCCATCCACCGGGACCTCCCAGGCCTCACGGAGGCCGCTGAGCAGGACCTGGGCGAAGCCGTCTCATGGGGGGCCCTGTCCGGCAGCCTGGCCCCCGGTCCCCAGAGCCCAGCCTTACCCCAGAAGCCCCAGCTCTGAGCAGCCTGCTGCCAGGACAGGCTCCATCACCCCTGACCTTCTTCAAGGAAGGCAGCTCCCCAGGGGTCCAGCAAATCCCATGTGACCATTGGGAAAGGAGGCATTATCCTGGGGTCCATGCTGCCCTAACTCATTTGCTCTAGGGCATCACCTTGAACAACCTGTAACTACAGTGTCCAGGTCAATGTTCTAGAAAGAAGCCTCAGCACTAAAAAACATTTAAAACACTTAGCGATAAGCAGCAGCAACAGTGTTCCTATTAGAAACTTTTTCAGCATTTAGTTTCCCCAGACACCGGGGCATCAAAAGCCTGTAGAGACACAAAGAGCCCAGAGGGACCCAGAAAAAAGAGCCAACGGGAAAGGAACAGGAGGGGAAACCAGAGGGGCACGGGGTACCTGGGGACTCCGGCACAGGAAGAGGGGGCAGAACACACACGTGTGTCACCTACCCCGACCCTGAGGGCGTGTGTGACACACAGGAGGCCGAACGTGCCAGTGAACATGGTGCACGTGTGTGTTCCGAGGGCACAAGTAGCCGTGTGGGATGCCCGCCTATCATGCACGGGCTGTGCCTCTGACCCCCAGCAGGCGGGCCTTTGTAAGTCTGGTACCCACCGCATGGACGTGCAAGTCCCCCATGTGCGTGTGTGTTCAGGTGCACGGGTTGGGGGTGGCCCACACGGGAACCAGTTTTTGCACGGCTGTGGGATTTCACTGCACGTGCACGCAGAAAGGTTTCTGTAGGCCAACTGGCCCGAGGCAGGGGAAAGCAATCAGACTCACAGGTTGCATCAGACCGAAACTTTCCGGACCACCCAGTTCCAGAAACTGACCTGGAGACTTTCCGGACCACCCAGTTCCAGTAACTGAACTGGGGACTTTCCACCCGGCCCAGCCTTCCCGCCTTTCGAGGGGCGGGACTAACGGTCCCTCACGATACCCGAAAAGACCACCAAATAAGGAATACCCTGCGCCCTCCCGGATTCACCACACCCCTTTCCCTTCTTCCCCTATAAATTCTGCCCAAACTCTCGCCCGGGCGCGACTTCTCTGGCCACTTTCTCTCGGACCAGTGAACCTCGCCCGGGAGCGTACCCGAATAAAGCTTGTTTAAGCTCTCCTCCGTCTTTGGTGCCGTTTCCATGTAGAGAAAGCTCCCTGACACAGCAGTGCTGCCATCACCTGCTGGCTGCACGCGCCCCTCTCCTCCACAAACCCCTCCCCTGGGCGTCCAGGCAGAGGGACGCGGTACTGACCAGGGACTGCAGGATGGCGTGGTTGGTGGCGTTCATGCAGGAGTCCAGTGGGAAGGAGCACTCCCCTTCACAGTAATAGGCTGAGTAGCCTTGGGGGGCGATGACCCAGTCCTGGGGGCAGGTAATGGGAGAAGGTGAGTCCCATCCATGTGCCCCTCCCGAGCCCCCCAGTCCAGCACCTGTCACAGCACAACTCAGGGCTGCCCCTTACCCTCCCTCAGCCTCAGGGCCCACCAGCCCACCCTCGGGCCCCTCCCAGGGCAGTTTCCCCCAGAAGCCTGACATCCACCAGAAGACCCTCAGCAGACAGGGCTGGGCACGATCTCCGTCCCCTTCATGCGCCATCAGCGCTCCGCTTCGTCCTCCCCAGCCCACCCTCAGTCACAGCAAAGGCCAGAGGCACTGCCCACCCTGGCCTCGGTTTTCCTGCTGCAGCTCTGACATTTTATGGCTAAGGATTCAGACAGTCTCCATTTTCATGGTTTTCACAAAAAAGCACTTTTCACTACAGAAGCAACACATTCTGCCTTTAGAGAACTTGGAAAAACACAGAGGAAAATAAAACAAGAAAATGCAAATCCCCCATGTTTCTACCTCCTCTTGGACATACACTTGCCATCTTCAAGGTGGGGACTGTCATTTAGGAAAGAAGGAGAGTCAGGAATTACCAGCCAGCCAAGGTCCTGGAAGCTGACATAGAGCTCATGCCGACGGCACACCTGTCGGCCGTGGGAGCCGTGGACGTCGTCTGCGGGGGACAGAAGGGGCAAGGTCTTTGCTGGGGTTCCCGCTCTGTGCACCCACCACGGGGAGCTCCCGGGGCGGGGGACGCCCTGATGGGCTCATTTGTTGAGTAAATAAATGATGGGAAACTAACCCATTTGGTCTCATAAAGCCCATCTCTGCAGCTCTGCTGGTGCCGTGACCCTGGTCAAGAACCTTTGACGGCTCCAGATGATTCCCCGTGGTTACAGTCACCCCACGCTCAGCCCAGCCTCCCCTGACTTTCTGCCTGTGACTCCCCATGGTCCACTCAGCAGCCCGGGGACCCTCTGCCGCCCAGCAGCCCCTCCTCCTTTCCTCCGGAGACACCCCTGACCTCATCCGCCTCTCCAGCCACGCCCATTCCACAGGACAAGTGGCTCCCACTGAGGCCAAGCAAAGCCTGGCTCCCCGTGAAGGAAAGGAGGGCACCAGGGGGCTCTGGTCCCCAGGGGCTTGGCCCGGTAGGGACACATTCACAGAAACGCTTGGATCCTGCAGGGCGCCCGGGGCAGCACCGAGGGCCACCAGGGGCACCTGATTTTGACGGAGGGGTGGGGGGGGCCTGGTGAGCCAGGGAGGGCAGGAAGGGACTTCAGGGCAGCAGGGGCGGTGAGGGCAGATGCTCAGAGCCCTGGAGACCATGCAGTGGCTGGTCCCCAGGGTGCAGGGGCAAAGTGGTGTCAGGAAAGGTGGCTGGGTGACTGACCATGAGCCTGACCCCACTGAAGCCAGGAGGGTTCTGTCCCCACCACCTGGTCCCCAACCTCACCGAAGATCCCCGGCAGTTTGTTTGGGGGCGGCAGCTCGTTGGTTCTTTTCGGCAGCCTCCTCCTCAGGGGCCTCACCGCCCGAGGGGCTCGGACGGGGCCGGGGCTCGCCCTGAAAAAGGTGACCACGAAAGGCTGTTGGGAGCGCGGTGCCTGTTGCCCCAGCAGACCGGCCAGGCCAGGATCCACGCTGCGGCCTGAGACGGAAAGAGCAGAGAGGGCGGTCACTCGAGGGTGGAGCCCTGCACGGGGACACAGCAGGGACCTCTCTGTGGGCGGGCCAGGAGCACGGAGCCTGAGGCTGCAGGGGACCCACTGGGCCTCGGTTTCCTCCTCTGAAGACCCGAGTCCCAGGTCCAGCCCCAGCCCCCAGCGGGCAGGTCTGCAGGAGCGGGGGAGGGTCCTCGGGAGCACAGGCTCGGGATTAGTGATGGTCCAGGGCACCGCCCGTTGTGACAGCCCTTTACAGCTTTCAGTCAGTTCACGTGATGATCTCAGCCAGTCTTCATGGTGACGCCAGACCCATCAATTCCCTGAGAAGCATCAGAGCCCCTCGGTGACGGCTCAGAGCACCACTACCGGGGACTCTCAGAACCAGGGTTCCCATCCATCTCGGGGCCCCGAGGCCTGAGTTCTACCTTCCACCCCATCCTTTCTGGGGATCAGTGTAGGATTTACAACACCCGGCTGGCGGGAGCGGCTGCCAGGACTCAGTGCTTGCTCTGCTGAGCACCGCCCAAGAGCAGGCCACTCACCGGTGCCCCCAAACGAGACCCCAGGCTCCGCGGGCAGAGACATTTATCCCAAGTCCACGTTCAGACACGTGCATCTAATTCCAGAGCCCTTTTTATCCATTTAAGTTCTCAACCAGCGGGTTTGTGCTTTGAAAAGGAAGAAAGAGAGAAAAGGCTGTGGGCAGAGACATGATGGGGCCTCAGCCTAGGAGCAGTGATGCTGGTAAAGCTGGGGTTTTACCCGCAGCTGCTAAAGCCTGAGGAGGCCGGAGAAACACACTGCTCATCCCCGGAAAAGCCACCTCCACCAGTGAAACTACCTTCCTGTACCTCTTTGCAGTTCCAATGACCTCTTGTGTTTTAATTGTCAAAGTGATTATAACAACAACTGTAAAGAACCTTAGAAAAAATATCTCCCATAAACCCCTCCCCTGCTACAACGCATCATTTTCATTTTTCTGGGATATTTTCATATGTTAATTTACATTGTGAGCATAAGAAAGAAGTCTGTATTTTTCCCAATTTTTCTACGTAAACATTTTCTTGGTTGTTAAGTCTCAACTATGAACATTTCAAATGTATAAAATTCCTTTGAGTAGATACATCTGAATATTTAGATATTAGTTCGTCTTTAGACATTTATTTCCTGGCTTTCATCATAAAGATGAGAACGTGATAGAACCTCTTCATGTCCTTTCCCTGTGGAATTTTCTCACACTAAACAACAGGGCATGACTACAAGCTCACTGTTAGTGTTTCTTAAAACCCAGGGCCGAACATCCCACTTCCAGGTACATTTCACCCCAGTGTTGCAGCAGTGATGCACAGGCATAGACACACAAGCCCATATATGTATGTGTACACACACGTGTGCATTTATACAGCTAGTGTACACATGTGCACATACATAAACATGTGTGTTCTATTAGTGGGTCTCATGATCCTCCACTGCACATTACAGGTCAGGGACATCGCCGGCCCTTACACAGCTGTGCTTTAGCCCTGAGTCCATGGGCCAGAGTTGACTAAACAGCGAATCGACCAGAGACTAACCTTTGACCTATGACATCACCTGCCACAAACATGCACTGGGCCCATCAGAGGTGCCACTCAGGGATGACCCTGCTGAGACAGGAGCTGACACTGGAAGGGGCCCAGGGAGAAGCCGTTCGGGGAGTTTGGGTCATGGCAGGTTAGGGTCACGAGGAAGAACAGCAGGCCCGTGAGGATGCAGAGCCACAAGACACACAGCAGCCCTTCCACAGAGGGAAGGCCCGTGAGGGCACCAGGAGGAGGCCGTGGAGCGACGGGGGCAGGTGGGCGGCTGTTGTCCACGCGGCACTGGAGCGGAGCTCCACACCTGGTGGACACATGCGGTGGCCTTGGCCGGCAGCCCTCCAGGCCTGTGTGTGCAGCCGCCCTGTCCTGTGAGTCCCTGGAGAGCCCTGTCCACTGAGAGGCCAGGGAGACCTTCGGTGCTCCCGAGACTGTGCTCACTGTAGGCTTTTCTTGTGCGACTGTCTGGTCAAGGATCGTATTGGGGTCTCCTGGGCGCAGAGAGATCGGGTCACAGGGCAGGCCCTGGCTGTCCAGGTGGTGGCCCCCAGGCTGCCTGGCTCTGGCGGGACCCTTTCCAGAAAGCAGAGGCAGGAACTTCAGGAACCTCTGAGGCCCAGGGTCCCTGCCTCTAGACCTGAACTGTGAGGGTGCTGGCAGGCATGCTGTCCCCTTTGTGAGAGATGTGGGATGTGTGGCCACACCTCGAGATGGGGGCCACACTGTGGCCTCCCCCAGCACGCAGACCCAGATGAAGATGCTGCTCCTCTGGGCCAGGAAGGCCCCTGACACCTCCAGCCTCCCCCCATTTCTGAGTCTACCCCGTCAGGGCCCGGATGTCTTGGCAGCTCCCCTGCCCTATCACAGCCCTGGGGATTCATGCCCCCTCCCCTGGGCCAGGCCAAGATTGCTCCCATCTCTCCCCAAGGCCTCTTTCTCCTCTGGGTGCCACCTGCCCCTTCCCTGCAGCCCCTGCCCCGCCTCAGCCTGCGGTCATGGATGTGACCCTCGTGCCACGTTGAAGGACAATCAGGACGCCTGGCTGAAACCCTTGGAGGGGATCCAGCTGTGACCAGGTGTGCTTTTGTCCCACAGGTTATTTATTTCCTCACCGCATGAGAACTAGGAACTCAATGCTTTTCCTTCTTTCTACTGTTTAACAACCTGTTAACTCGTCTGCTTCTGGAAACCTCTGCCTGTCCCAGGCTGATGCTGGAAGACGTCTCCCACCACGCAGGGCAGATCAGTCCTCCTCCCCAGAAGGTGCTGCACAGTCCACTCAGTGACGTCCATCCACTGCCCGCCTGGTCACGGTCCCCTGACACTCTGTGGCTGTCCCCTCAGGGGCACTGTCTCTCCACTCCAGGATCCGGGCCTCCCATCAGGGTGAGGCCGCAGGGAGCCTCTCTGAAAGGCCTTCCTTGACCAGCTGGAGCTTCCTGTTCTTACCCACGGGCTCCCATCCATTTTGTGCAGACCTAGAGCCGCATTGAGAAAGCGCAGCCTCCATGGCAGGCCTGGGTTTGAACCCCACACACGCACGCACGCACACACGCACGCAAACGGAAACTCATTTTTTTCTGTCTAGTTTGTGAGACTGTGGATTCAGGATGAAGTACGTCACTGCCCCTCATGGGTTTCAAGGGAGTATGAACAAGAGGCTGGTTTAGGCTCCGTAACAGAGAAGAAGGGAATAACTGTCTGATCTGGACAACACAGGATCGCTATGATTTGAGATGAGAAAGCCCATCTAAGTCCACCGCCCGGGTTTGTAGAACTCCTCCCATCCTAAGTCGCAGCCTTTGGCCACACACAGGCGAGCCGTTTATTCACAGAGGAGACTTCCTGGTGGAATGTCGGCACCAAACAGTCTCTCCCCCTTCAGTTGCCCCTATTACCAGTTTGCTGGCCGCCTAAACCGTCTTGCTTCCCTTCTAGAGACATCTATTTAGCTACGACGAGGAGGAGAAATGTGAGAGGCAGGGGAGGTGAGGCTACAAAGAGACAATATTTAGTGACAAAATGAAAAGTCCCCGAAGGAAAGTCAGAAGGGCCAAAGGAAAAACATCTTACATTCAGACAGCGTTTCTCCCAGTTACAAATTCACATGTAAGTGTGTATGTTTTTATGGTTCTAATAAAACAGTGCCTTATATAGACTCTTCTGCCATCTTCATAGACACCGTTCTGCCATCTTCTCAGTCTGCTAGCTTTCCCATTAAAGCTGTTCTTCCTTGTCCCAACAACTTGTCTCCTGATTTGTTGGCCTGTTGTCTGCTGAGCAGAGTGAGCTTGGGCTCGGCAACAAATTTTGGTGAGCCGGCCAGGACCCTGGGTGCTTGTGGCTAGCTGGCCTCTGTTGGGGAATTTTCAGGTAAGGCCCTAGCAGCCACCGGGACCATTTGTCCTGAGGATCTTTCCTTCAAAATTCCCTGAAGTGGCGCCGGCTGCCCCAGCGCTGGGCAGCTGAAGTGGGGAATCAACATTTGGGAGCCAAATGGGTCTCACATAGAAGGGTAAGTAGCTCCAGTATATACGACTGGGAACATTTTCCCCACTCAGTTTGGGCTTTTTTCCTTTAAGGGAAAAGCCAATTTGTTCGTTTGATTGGGGTGCCCTGCTGGAGAGCGGAATTGTTGTTGGACTCTACCTGCTTTGTGAACCAGTTTGTTGGCTTTTGTTTTGCATTCATTTTTTTTTTTTTTACATCTTTATTGGAGTATAATTGCTTTACAATGGTGTATTAGTTGCTGCTTTATAACAAAGTGAATCAGCTATACTGCATTCATTCTTGATGGAATCTCTTTGTGCTTTTGGTATTAGAATTTGCTTGTGCTTTTTGTGTTTTGTTGTTCTTGAACTTTTTAAAAATTTTATTTATCTAATTTATTTATCTTTTTGGCTGTGTTGGGTCTTCGTTTCTGCACATGGGCTTTCTCTAGTTGCGGTGAGTGGGCTGCTCATTGTGGTGGCTTCTCTTGTTGTAGAGCACAGGCTCTAGGCGCGTGGGCTTCAGTAGTAGTGGCGTGCAGGCTCTAGAGCGCAGGCTCAGTAGCTGTGGTCCACGGGCTTAGTTGCTCTGCGGCATGTGGTATCTTCCTGGACTAGGGCTCGAACCCATGTTCCCTGCATTGGCAGGCAGATTCTTAAGCACTGTGCCACCAGGGAAACCCACTGAACTTATAAATATGGGAAATACTTCATCTGTCCCTAAGGAAAGCCCTTTGGGGCGTATCTTAAATAAATGGGCAAAATATAGCTGTGGGTCTATGACTAAAGAAGAGATGATATTTTATTGTAATAGCGTGTGGCCCAATATATGTTAGGATCAGGAGAGCAGTGCCCATTGAATCGCTCACTTATTATACGATCTTGCAGTTAGAATTGTTTTGTGAAAGAGCAGGTAAA